AATAATTATTATCTTCAGTTTTCTGTGTGCTTACACACGGGTACTGTAGAAAACTGCCTTACATCCAACTAGAATGTGCCCTGCTTGCACACTGAGACAGGGTAAGTGACATGGCTGCTGTTCTTACAGGATGTAAGCCCTTCAAATGCGTGGAGTGTCCCAAGGAGTTCCTCACAGGGTATCTGCTCAAGAAACACATGGAGGCGCACCTCAGTGAGCGCCGGTTCAAGTGTGGGGAGTGTGGGAAGCTGTACAAGACCATCGGCCACGTCCGGGAGCACATGAGAGCTCATTCCGACGAGCGTCCCTACCGCTGCAACAAGTGTGACAAAGGCTACAAGACCAAGGTGAGCCAGCACTGACATCCTGACGGCTGTAGAAGTGCTCACCACAGCTCTGCCAGGAGTTAGGGAATCAACATTACAGCTGGTATCGCTCTAAAGATATCGGCTTTTGCATTACATTGTGGACTGTTTTATGTCAGTATTACGGCCCTTCATTGCAGTCTTTTAAGTGGTCAAGAGGTTTTTCCGGTAGTTCAGTGCATGCTTCTCATTAAAGACTGGTGGTCTTGTCAAGTAATCAAAAAGAACTTGACTGCACAGTCAGAGAACCAGAAATCTGAAATTGTTCTGGAAGCGTAGTAAGTTTCCGCCCACAGTCTGAAGGCAGACGGGTAGGTTAACTGGCTTCTGGGAAAACTGGCCCTCGGTGTGAGGGGGTGTGTCTGTTTGTGCCCTACGATGGACTGGCATCCTGTCCAGGGAGTATCCCGCCTTGCGCTACTTGCTGGCTGGGATAGACTCCCCAGCCACCCCGAATTGGATGACACAGTTAGAAAATGACTTGACTTGACTTTCCCTCCCCCTCCTGGTACCAGAATGCTTTGCAGGTGCACCAGCGCACTCACGGGGAGGAGAAGCCATACGTGTGCCAATTCTGCTTGCGTGGGTTCCGGGAGAAGGGCTCACTGGTGCGCCACATCCGCCACCACACCGGCGAGAAGCCATTCAAGTGCTACAAGTGTGGTCGAGGGTTTGCGGAGCATGGCACACTGAACAGGCATCTGCGGGCCAAAGGTAAGCCAGGGCTAATGGCAGCAGAGAGCAAGTGTTATCCGGCAGATTATTGTATTTATTAATCGTTTATTGCTATTAATAGAAACCAATGGAATAGCTCCACATGTGTAAGCTATGTAAAGGTGGCGTAGTAAGACCTGTTATGCAGTGGATCTCCTCTCTTATGTCACTATCAAAGTAGTGAGATTAAAATGGAGTTGTACTATTATTTACTGAAGTATGGTGAAAAGGTAGTAGCTGTATCGGTCAGCTGGTTATAGGACGGATATGAAATCAAGCAGAACAAACACTCCAGAATCAGAGATGGAGAAGGTGAACCTGCAAGATGTATTGCTGATGGCTCGTTGATCCTGGTGATGTTTCGGTGTGCAACTCAATATATTCCGTGGGTTTACTGTCTCGCAGGGGGCTGTTTCGGAGGATTGAAGGAGTCTGAGCAAACTGAGGCATCAGAGGAGCAACCCTCTGCTGATAACGTGGCTGCTACTATCATATCAGAAGACCCTCATGCAGTGCTGGTGGAGTTCTCTTCCGTGGTGGCAGATACCCAGGAGTACATCATTGAGGTAAAAGCCACCACTCCAGTTGTCATGCATGTGTCACGTCTTCTCTCATACCTGGGCCCCAGGCTGGTCCTATTGAACCTGGGAAGAAGCCCTGAAAAGGGTAGAAAAAGCATGGCCATTGAATTCCATTCCATTTTGGGTACATGCACTGGAACTCATTGCTGGAAATATTGTCAGCCCACTAGGTCATTTAAATGGCTTTTCTATGTACAATTAATTTTCTATGAGCTACTGTAGAGGTACAGCAGATAGTGTTTATTGTCTTGTTCACCTATGATCACCCTGGGATCTGGTATCAAAGGAGAGTCTTACTCTTGACAGCCTAAAAGAACTAAACTTTCTTAGCCTTGAACAGAGCCGACAAGGAACCTGATCGTGGTGTTTCAGATCCTCAAAGGCATTGCCACCACTGGATTTACTGGATTTCTTGAGCATCAGCACTAAAACACAAACCACATGACAGAAATGGAAACTACAGCTTCAAAGTACATTTAAAAACAAAGACCAAAGGGACAGTTCTTCACACAGAGGGTTATGGCCACAGGGCATTAGCTATGCAAACATTTTGATAAAGCAGCTACTCTGCTTCTTTAAAGGTACATCTGGATGAGATTGTCTGATCAGTTAGCTACTAAAATATAACTCATCTAGTTATTTTGAATGGCCTTCTTTTCATTTGTATTTTTAATGGGCTTCTCAGAGGTCTGATAATGTTTTTCGTTTTAAAGGCACCCTCTGAAACGGCAGGAACAGGGGGAGAAGTGGCACTCATACAGGATGACAGAGGCGAGGTCAGTTGATGTTCAGAACTGTTTTCTTCCTTATCTGAAAATTCACACCCTTTTCCATTGCCTTTGAATGTTTTAACAAACCCATTTTGATTAACAGATGAGCCTTCAGATGAAAATTAATCTCATAAAAGTTAAAGGGGATCATTATCTGGAATATTTGTTTTTGCATTTATTAATGACAAGTGAAAATGTGCATTATCACTTTTTACTGAGGATATTTCCAGGTTTTAACACTGTTTTGGTTGTTGCAAAGAATTGGAATGGCATTAGTTCAGCTGTGCAGTCACTGACGATGCCGATATCATCCATATTTGCAGGTGGGGAGCCACATCATGAAGGTGGTACAGCAGATAGTGAACCAGTCCCACTCTGGACACCAGATCATTGTGCAGAATGTCACTATGGATGAGGGTGCTGCGCTTTCCACAGATTGTGGCGACACCATCACCATAGCAACACCCGAGAGCCTAACGGAGCAAGTTGCCATGACGCTGGCCTCTGCTATCAGCGATGGCGCGATACTCGCAGCTGAGGGCTCTCTTGAGGCCAGGGACGGAACAGTCACTATGGTAGCATCCCGGGACATCGAGGTGATGGAGCAGGCAGAGGAGTTTGTCATCACCTCCCCTGAGGAAGTGGAGATACAGACGGTCATTGTGCAGGACTGAACATGACTCTCCACTGCTTTTTCCGTTGTGCAGACCCACAGGCTGGTGGCTTCGTGAAACGTTTTGAGAGGAGGAGAAAATGAAAGCAAGTCCTTAATGCTGCTGCTGAAAAGGTTTTTTTTAGTATTTGGAGTGAGTTGCACAATTGTAGAACGATAACTTATCTCAAATACTCTGAACTGATATTTTTGTCACCACGCAATGAGAATTTTCTGTTGCGCAGTACTGACACAGTAGGTCACAAGTTTTACCATTATTGCTGTCAGCATCTTCAAATTATGTTCAAAGAACAGTCATCCACCCAGGCGCCTTGAGTTTAACTAACTTTAGTGATGTATGTTCCTTCCATCTATATTTTAAAGACAATCGTTCTTACAAACACTCTGAGCCCAGCCTTTTTCCACTAACTTCATATTTTATTAGCCTTGAACTGTGATTAGTGGTATTGTCCTTGCTCAGTGCCAGAGACACTGAAAGGGGCAGTGGCCTTCCCCCAGAACACCTCAGCCTTACACTGAAGGAAGGCTCCCAATGTGGAGAGCATGAAGACGTTCAGAAATAAGCATGGGATCTCCGCAGACTTTTAGTCTTTAAGCAGAGATCAGTGAACTGTAGCCAAAAGAGGGCACAGCTTTTTAATAAAATACTTATACCATATGTCCAAACTTAAAAGATCACGAACTGGAAATGGAAATGTTTCCTTGTAATGCAGTTTTTAGTATTGCATTTGGAACTATACTAACACACAAACTGTTTCAGTCTGATCAGATATAGCGCAGGGTTTCTAACTAGTTTTCATTACAGGAGTCAAACAGTGCTCATTATTGTAACGTACCTACGTACGTAGAAATAGGTTCTGTACAGGACTATATTTCCTTCAGAGGAACTTGCCAGAGATTAAGAGAGCCCATTATTCAATATTAACAGGTGGGTTAAACAGGCTCAGCTCAAGGGAGGGGCAAAAGAAAGGGGTAGCAATGGAAAATGATGTCAGTTCTGATTTTTCAAAAGTAATATAATTTTCCAAAAACAAATCTATTTTCTATATTGGCTTTGGTTTGAAGCATTTTCTCCTACACTTCATGAAACGAGATTGAAATGCAAAACAAGTTTCTTTCAGTATCCTTTGTTTTTCATATTGGAGAAAAGTGATATTGTGAAGCACTTATGTTTATCGGTTAAATATATACGTGAACTATGACTCTTGTTCTCTTGGAACACCTCACACAACAATGTTTTTTGCCTTTAGAGAGTACAAAAGCTAATCACAATGCATTATTAAAGTCCTTTGCCACTTTTAAAGGGGAGATTTTGGGGGATAAATCATAGAGAAACTTGGATTCTATGCAGACCTATCTAACTGACAGAGCCAAGCTCAGGTGCCGTCAGGTTTTCTGAATTCACAGGCTGAGGCTAACTGTGATCACCTTGCCGGTGGCTGTGTTATTACCAGGTGGCCACTTCCTTAGCGCCAGACTTCCTTGGTTTACATATTTAATGTGGTCTGAGGTTTCGCAAGGTGAAGGAACACCTGTTCCCACAGTGAGCCCTCAGGAGTATTACATCCTGGAGTGGCAGTATGGACAAACAGGAGCATGTCAAGGTCATGCAGTGCTTCCTCAACGTATTCACACTCTTTAAGCTGTTCCTGCTCAATTTTCATGTGTCTCGGCATTATTGAATGTCCGATTAGAGGTATTTTGATTAGACAATACGCCACTCATTGAGGGCACAGAGATATTTTGCTTAAGGACAAGTTTAGAATTGCAGCACTCTAGTTATGAACCACATTCATATACTGTCCATGTTGCTATTGCCACTATATAAGGGTATATATTATACACCTCCTTCTCCCCTTTGTAAAAAGCAATCTAAATATTAGTAAGTTTGTTAAACAGTGCTGTGACATCAGAATCAAGATGCCCTACTGAATTCTGCATGTTAATGAGTTGATAAACATTTGAAACAGTTTTTAAAGTTTTATTTAGCTGAATCCCAAACAAGCAGTTACAGGTTCTGAGAAGTGGGGAACAGGTAGGGGGAAAATTTGTGTTTTTCCAGGCTTCAGCTTCCATCCAGAACAATAAAAAACTATTTTTGACCTAACTGCCAATTGTGTCTCGCAAGCAGGGGGAAAAATAATCCCAAACGCATTTAGCACTGAGGAATTCCCACCCACCCAGACTATGCGATGCGGTAGTGTAGTCACAATAAAAAAAACACAACACTAAAATTACAACCTTATTCCCACCTGCCTTGTCCCTATACACTCATCTCATTCATTCATGGATAATGTCCTAAATTTGTGGGGCTCCTGAACCACTCAGCAGTTCACGTCTTGAAGACCTAAGCACGTGTTCCATTCCCCATGACTGTCGCAAGGGTTAGACCAGCAGGAATTTCCAAATGTTGTTGATCATCGTAATTTCCAAATTAAAAAATGAATGTTGCTGCAAGCAGAAAGTCATTTGCTTAGCAAGGAAACCGCACAGGTGACTGGGAAATGTGTTGGATCACTCAGGATTTTGCCCAGCTGCCCTGATCAGCTGTGATCGGTGGTGTACCAGAGTGCTGTCTATGTGTGCTTCTTGGGGCTGTGGCTCAGGGGTTGAAGGATTTCTCTCAGGTTGCCAAGGATGCCCCTGCTGTAGAAGCCACGCTGCGCGGCGTGCGAGTGTCCCTGTGAGACCGCGGGCCCGCAGTGGCGGCAGCCTTGGCCTTTCCGCTTGTTCCATTCGTTGGAGGTCTGGTTAACGAGGGCCAGGTACAGGTGGAACAAGGCGTAACCTGCCAGCAGGGCAAAGACGGCGACCAGGAAGCCCAGCATGAAGACGATCCGGGGAAACGTCAGGAAGAGGCGCTGAGGAGACAAGGGCGAGAGCTGCGGTGAGCGTGCTGGCAGATGCGAGGTCAGGAGGAGGAGGAATCGCTTGCCGGGAGGGTAAGAGCGTGTTCGCCGATCTGGTTGTTCAGTTCGGTGATATGAGATTAGGTTCTCAAACTGACATGGGTGTGGAAGCAATTATTTCAATTTCAGGCCTTAGTGTCCATGTTTTTTCTCAAATTAAGATTGTTTTTTATCCCTCCCCCCCCCATCTTCCCAAGGCGGGCAACATTTCAGAACACTGGTAAGTCCTCCTGTTTTTTTGTCCTTAAGAGCACAAGTTGCTCCAAGATGAATAATTGGTAGTAATGACATGACCTAAAATGACAAATTCAGCTAAGACCGTGTTCTGCGATACTGGAATAAACCATATTGTAAAGAGTTAGGGTTGGGGGGCAGATGCCAACTTTCAGAACAATTCCGCCTCTGCAGCACTTAACTGCAGGAACAGAATGTGAAAGCTGTTTTTTTTTTAATTAATAATAATTGCTTACACTTATATAGCCCTTTTTCTGGACACTCCACTCAACGAGCTTTACAGGCAATGGGGATCCCCTCCACCCCCACCAGTGTGTAGGCCCACCTGGATGACGAGATGACAGCCATAATGCACCAGTACGCTCCCCACACATCAGCTCTCAGTGGGGAGGAGAGCAGAGTAATGAAGCCAGTTCAGAGATGGGGATTATTAGGAGGCCATGATTTGTGAGGGCAAATGGGAAATTTGGCCAGGACACCAGGGTTACACCCCTACTCTTTTCGAGAAACGCCCTGGGATTTTTAATGACCACAGAGAGTCAGGACCTCAGTTTTACGTCTCATCCGAAGGACGGCGCCTGTTTACAGTATAGTGTCCCCGTCACTATACTGGGGCATTAGGACCCACATAGACCACAGGGTGAGCGCCCCCTGCTGGCCCCACTAACACCTCTTCCAGCAGCAACCTTAGTTTTTCCCAGCAGGTCTCCCATCCAGGTACTGACCAGGCTCCCACCTGCTGAGCCTCCAGTGGGTGGCCAGTGGTGAGCTGCAGGGTGATATGGCTGCGGGCTTTTTTTTGTGGTACAGGCGGTGCGGGGTGTTGCTCGGACTCACCTGCACGATGAAAAAGAGCCCAGCTGGCTGCCGCTGCCCCTGCCGGTCGATGTAAGAGGCGTGCAGGAGGTCGGAGCGCAGCACGGCGTGGAACAGCATGCCAGCGGTGAGCACGGCCATGTCGCCCGCCATGGCGCACACGCACAAGAGGTACAGCAGGAAGTGCCTGGTGTTCTGGGCCCCGATGCAGTTGTTCACCCACACGCAGTGGTGGTCAAAGCGCTGCACGCACCGGTTGCACACACCTGTTCAAACAAATAAAACAAAAACGAATGCCAGTTTTGCCAATCACTTGCTCATCAACGCCATCCAGTATCGATTCTCAAGATAGCTTGGCAGAACAAATGCCAATTTTGCAAATCTCTTTGCGGCGGCACTGTGGCTTAGGATCCGCGCCTGTGGCTGGAAGGTTGCTGCTTTGAATCCCACGGCTGGCAGAGGAGTCCTACTCCGTTGGGCCCCTGAGCAAGGCCCTTAACCCCAACGGCTCCAGGGGCGCTGTACAATGGCTGACCCTGCGCTCTGACCCCAAGCTTCTCTCCTTGTCTGTGTGTCTCATGGAGAGCAAGCTGGGGCATGCGAACAAAACAAATTCCTAATGCAAGAAATTGTATATGGCCAATAAAATGATCTTATCAGTGCCATCCAGTATCAATTCTCAAGAGCACACAGGCTATAGTTTGCCATGATGTGACATGACTCCCATTGGGCATGCAGTTAAGAGGCCCTCCATGGTTTTAAGACTCGTCGTTCACAATCATTTTAAGCAGTGAGGCTTTGCAGGAGCTAGCTTGCTGGCCCATTCTAATCTACAGGGACCTGCTGCTGCTCCTGCTGGGGAACTGTTGCAGCTGGCCGTGACGTAAATGATTGTTGGATGGCCTCTCAACACAGCCTGCTGCGCCGCGTTCCTGTGGTCCCGTTTTCTGTTCCCCCCCCTCAGTCCCTTTCGTTGGGTAGACCGCACGAGCCCGGGAAAGCCCTGGCTGACGCCGGCTGGACTTACGGCAGTGCTTGGACCGGGCTGGCTTCACAAAGCAGCAGGTGGGGCACAGGACGCCCGGCTGAAACAGCACCCCGTCGTACCGGTAGACCTGCACCAGGGTGGCGTGGTTCCTCTCCGTCACCACACCTGCAGCAGGAAGATCACAGGCTGTGGGTGTCTACTCCATTTCTGGAAGCGTATTACTCTTCGATTTTTATACACAAGCGCCGTTCCTAGTTACTCAGGAAAATGCTGTGTTTTTTTGGCCCAAGATCATGCGGAGACACCAGAGGTGTCATTTGGACACGTTGAAACATGGCTGCGTCAGGCTGCATCACAACCAGCAGGGGTGTTAGCCCGGCGTTCTGGACAACCTTCCCATTGGTCTTTCTCAATCATGGCCTCCTGATAACCCCATCTCTGAACTGGCTTCATCACTCTGTTCTCCTCCCCACTGAGATCTGATGTGTGGGGAGCGTACTGGTGCACTATGGCTGCCGTCACAATATCCAGGTGGGGCTGCACGTGTGGTGGTGGAGGGGATCCCCCATTACCTGTAAAGCACTTTGAGTGGAGTGTCCAGGAAAGCGCTATATAAGTGTAAGAAATAAATAATAACTATTATTATTTCATCTCTCTATTCAAGCCGTACCCCCCAACCGTGCTAAGAAAATCATCTCAGACCCCTCTCGTCCAGCTCATAATCTCTTTCAGCTTCTCCCTTCTGGGACATGTTTCAAATCCTTCCTCTCAAGGACTGCCCACTTCAACCTCTTGAGTGGAGTGTCCAGAAGAGCGCTATGTAAGTAAGGAATTATTGATCATTCTTTTTAAATGGAGAATGCAGACCCTTGGGCCACAGTCAGCCTACCTGGGTCTCGAACGCAGCACTGGTAGTAGAAATAAGACTTCAGAGCCAGTAGTACATAGGGCACGCACAGACTGGGCAGGCCCATGTCCATCTCCCTGCAGAAGCCGAACACCTCATAGGTGAATTCCCCGTACACTACGCCTTCCAGCAGCAGGTGCAGGGCCACAAGCAGGCTGTTCCTGAAGTGAGAGAGCACAACAAGCAACTGAGACGCCCGCTGACCTGACCGCTGCGGACGTAGATGATCTTTCCATCCAGGCCTGGTCTTGCGCGGTGCTGATCCCAGAATCACAGATTCGGTTTCCTCAATGGAGGGTGTGATTCCTCTTGTTCTGCTGTTGCCATGACACCGGGACTCTACTCACCGCTGATGGAACAGCCTGTGCAGGGCCCTATGGGAAATGCTCCGCACACCTTCCGGAATCCAGGGAGAGACAGCCTGTCAATCACACACAGATGGATGACATCACACTGGTGGCCATTACCCGCAGGGGATGTTTAAAGGGGAACTCAGTCTCAGTTTCTCAGACTGGCTATTAAATCCCGATGACAAAATACATTCGTTGACAGTATAGAGAAAAAAATTCGGATTAAGCACAAAAACAAACTTGGTGAAAGTACTGTTAGCCTCCATGTTGTCGTGAGTTTGTGAGAATGGTGATGTGAAGCGGCCCTTCCTGCTCACCAGTCACTGTACTGACTAATGTAAGGCAATGTACGAGCAAAACACATACAGGTTGTGCAGCGGACATTTCCAAATTTTTCAAGCAAGAAGAAAAACAGGAAGACGAAACTCGGTCATGAATAAAAACAAGCCTTAACATCTCCCGTTATTACGAGGTTCATAATGTAAATTAGCTCGTAATTGGGTCCTATTAAAACCTCTATGGCAACGCAGCACTTAAATGGGCGTTGTTAAGCCTCATTAAGGGATAAACACTTGTGTAGAGGGAGAGATCTATCTGACTGGCGATGTGCGTGAGTCGCTGAGCAGTACACATTTAACACAAGTTAAAATACACATCTTCTTATTAAATATTACGTTTTCTGCTGTTTATGTCCTTAGACAACAACTTCACAATTCCTCAACCTATTTCCGAAATGTCACTTTTTACCTCTTAACGTGATTGAAATGTTTGGGAAAACCTGAACTTAATTCACTTCTGTTTTTTTTTTTTGTATAACGGGGCATCAGACAACGTTAAACAGGCCATGCGTATTTCCAAAACGAAAACGCAACTAAAGAGACCAGATTTCTAGAACTCCAAACCACTTCTTTCTGTTGCAGAAGTGCTGAGACATCATATTAGCTCACACGTTTCCACGCGTCATTACTAATTCTATGTAATAACTATTTTCACCACTGTCATTGTCATAAACCACTTTGAAACGTGGGCGTGCGATGGAAGGGGATCGGACAGGGAAAAATAAACTGAGCGGGTGTATTTGCGTATCCAGACGAATTGTGACCGATTCCTGTGAGTCATGTTTGTTGATGTAGCTCATTAAAAGAAGGAATCACGAATCACACCGCACAAGGTACGGTCCGACACAGCAGGGTCTCCACCTATGATCCCTGTGAAAGCAGCAAACATACGGACACTGACCTCCTTCAGAGAAGATAATGCCCTCCCGAAAGGACTCTGCTCTTGGCCGGAGTACTTGCACACCAGGACAATACAGGTCACCACGAACACCACATACACGGCAAAGAGAGAGAGAAAATCCATCTGGCAGCCTGCAGAAATGAAGCAAACACGCAACTTTATTTCCCCCAGAAAGAACCCACACCGATTTTGCGTTCATTTTCTAAATCGCAAAAATATTTTAGATAATACCGCCTGAACTTAGCACAACCGTTTACTTATGACAGTTACTAGTCTATCCATTTGTCATTTTGCAAAACAGTTTATTAGCCGATATGTGAACAGGTATTCGCAAAACTCTACTTTTAGCTGCAACCAGTTAAGAGAGCGTCGGAAGTCACTCGTTATCCTTACCGGAATTCTTTGTCTCTCACAGAGCAGCACATCGCTCATGAAGTTTCATGGCAGAAGTTCACAGGCTCGCCATGAGTTCGATTCTGTTTCCTGCTTCCTGGATCCCCAGCGCGTGTCCGAGCAGCCAATCAGCTGTTCGCGCGAGCGGCGATTGGTGCCTTGTCTCAGCCTTGCCTTTAGGCCATAGGCTGTACCACGGCTTGCTCTGTTTTTAGAGCACAATTCACATTGCCTAACTATCCCAGAGCGTCTGTTTGTGGTCTGTCAATTACAATGTGATCATAACATTTAAAAAAAAATTACCTTCTTACCAAAGTCTTACCATTTCAACCAGTTTTGAGTGACTTCGTTATGGTTCGTTTGGGAGTCCCCAGCTTTAGTGTTTCAGTCTAACGAGTTACACTGTGATGCAGAAAATAATAATAATAATAATAATAATTCCTGGTGTTAGTAAGTTAGAACACTCACTGGATGGAAAGAACAATGTGGCCGGCGGACTCTTAATAATAATAATAATTGCTTAGACTTTTATAGCGCTTTTCTGGACACTCCACTCAAAGCGCTTTACAGATAATGGGGACTCCCCTCCACCACTACCAGTGTGCAGCCTGATCTGGATGATGCGACAGCAGCCATAGTGCTCCTGAACGCTCCCTACACACCAGCTCTCAGTGGGGAGGAGAACAGAGTGATGAAGCCAGTTCAGAGATGGGGATTATTAGGAGGCCATGATTGGTAAGGGCCAGGGGAATTTGGCCAGGACGCTGGGGGTACACCCCTACTCTTTTTGAAGGACAGCGCCTGTTTACAGTATAGTGTCCCTGTTACTATACTGGGGCATTAGGATCCACACAGACTGCGGTGTGTGCACTCCCTACTGGCCACACTAACACCTCTTCCAGTAGCAACCTTAGTTTTTCCCAGGAGGTCTCCCATCCAGGTACTGACCAGGCTCACACCTGCTGAGCTTCCAGTGGGTTGCCAGCTGGGAGTTAACTGACAACTTTTAAACATCACAGAAATAAAAACTCAGGAAACCTCAACTGAGAACTGAGCTTGAAAACGCACCCACCTTAAGGTGTGGCCACTCACCTAAGGAAATCAGCAACCTTCAGCCTCAGTGTCTCCTGAGAAATGGGTTAGTTCTGGTTGTAGGACCATACTGAAGATACATCACTGATAATAGTGGCCCATAAAGAGAGTTTTTAATTCACCACAATTAACCATAACACTATAATTATATTTAGTGCATCTTTTAAATGCATACTTAATTTTCTGTACAGCCTCCTACCTAAACCTATCAACGCAATACAAAGTCTCCTTTGTGTTTTCACAAATAAGAAAGTTTCACAGGAAACTTTTCTGGCTGCTCTTCCAAGGCTGGGGGTTCCTGCCTGCCTCCTCCACGGTCTATCGGGTTACACAGCCCGGATAGAATTAGCTCGGGCAACTCGGACAGCTGGCGTCGGGTTATGTCGGAGCGCCGCGGAGGAGCTCCGATGTGTTTCTGGTTGATCTTCGTCTCCCTCTTGGACAGCGACGGAACAGCAGTGCTGGTCATCGTTTACAAGGGTAAGTAACAAAGGGCCGGCCTTAAAACCGCTTGCTCTGTTGTCGTTTTGTTTTGGGAGGTGGGGCTTCTCTACGGACAAACAGTGAATGAGACCTGAGGGGGGCAGATGAAACAGGAGCCCTGACACACTTCTGAAGAAGCCTTCTTCTGTCTTCGTCCTGGGGAAACGTGTTGTTCCTAGATTTCGGCATCAGCACAGCTGTATTTGGCTTGTAGAGAACTAAATGCTCCTTAAGACATGATGGATGGATTAATACCTTCATTCATTTATTTCCTTTTTTTTTAAATTGTGTAATGTTAGCATGCCCAAAGGGGTTGGGCAGCCAGTTGACCTTAGACCCCTTGGAGGTTTCGTTTTCTCCTTACTGAGGAGTTTTTGGTTCCTCTCCTTAGTTGTCTTCTGGTCTCTTCTGTTCTGTATTCACAACATGTAGGGTCACTTGCAGTGTTAAGCCCCTTGGGGTAACCTTGTTGTGAAAGGCGCTATATACAAATAAATTGAGTTGAATTAATGCACAGGAACGCACGTTGAATAGACAAACCTCTTGGGTGTCGTAAAAGCAAAAGATCTGAGTAAATATAGTGCCACCTTTTTTGTATGCTTGCAGTTTAACTTTTTTGTCTAAAGGCAGAAAGATTACAGTGTAGCCAAGTGAAGCATTAGTGAAACAGGACTTGGTGAAATATCTCCCTTTTAAAATCAGTTCTATTTTATTATTACATATGAGCATGTTGTGATCTTTCACTCACATTGTATCTCTGCAATATAGGTCTATGTCATAAACATCCACTATCACTTTAATATCCCATACTATTTCCTGAGGTGTACTGATCTGTTGTTGCGTTCTGTTGTTACCAAATAATGTATCACCCACTGCTGACCTGCTTTAATTGCAGACTGCACTCCTTTCTTCCAAGAGTGTGTGTTCTAGTGCAACTGTTCTCGATTTGGTTTAGGAACACTTACATACATCAGCCGGGTTCTGGAGCTGAGCTTGCAGATCACCATGTGAATGGGCAAGTATGGACAGCAGTCAATATGGCCAGCTGGTCTGTAAGCAGATGAAGGTATAGGAATGTTAAGCACAGGGCACTGAAGGTTTGAAGTAGAGAGTATTGATGTGTGTTTATATGCTTTAGAGAATGGGTAGCATTGCTGTCCATTTTCAGCCTCTGTCCAGGCCACTGAGCAGAACTGGCTTCGTGTGAGATGATCTGCAGGAGAGACTTCAGCAAATGTTCCTGTATGTCAGGCTGCCTCCTCACACTCCGGAGGGCCTGTTAATGGACTCTTCCCTATCACTGCTGACCTGAGCATCCAAGAATGAGGCTGGAATTCCCCACAATCCCTAAAGCCCCACAATAACCCAGTGCTTCCCTGATGTCTCTTGTCCCCCAGAGTGGCAGGGATTCAACTTTGGGATGAACTTGGACGTGGAGTGAAAAATCACTCAAGGGCACAGAATCTTTGGCAACGAGGAGCTTTTCTTTCCAGCAGAGAAATAAGATACTCCAGGCATTTATTCAGATACTCATTTTGGATGCCGCAGCGTGGTCACAGGCCTCAGAGAGAGCACTGATTTACTAACTTTGCATTTTCCTTTTTCTTCATTAAGCCAATCTCTATGTTAAAAGCGCTGGTTTTGTTAGGCCTTTGTGGAACTATAGAAACTCAAACTTGAATTTGAACTTTGGGGTCAAAAGCAGAAGAGAGACAGATCCCCTCCTGACAGGACAGAGCATGTTTGAGGTGTAGAGTTCGTCAGGAGCTAAACCCAAAAACTGGAGATGGGGGTCGGTGGCATTACCTACCAAGCGCTTGTCCTTCTGTATATACTGTAATGTGTGAATGTTCAGTCAGTGGTCTGTACAGCGGAGCGGTGGCACTGTGGCTAAGGATCTGTGCCTGTGGCTGGAAGGTTGCTGGTTCAAATCCTGTGGCGGCAGAGGAATCCTTCTCCGTTGGGCTCCTGAGCAAGGCTCTTAACCCCAACTGCTCCAGGGGCGCTGTACAATGGCTGACCCTGTGCTCTGACCCCAAGCTTCTCTCCGTGTCTGTGTCTCATGGAGAGCAAGCTGGGGTATGTGAAAAGATGAATTCCTAGTGCAAGAAATTGTATACGGCCAATAAAGTGATCTTATCTTATCTACTGCAGATGTATGCCAGGGGTAAGCAGAAATATCTACTTTTCTCCACCAGGAGGCAGTGTTTACATCTGAACACAATTAGCTCTGAATCCGTAAATTTAAAGATGGTTTTAAATACATATTCGTATTTATTTTTTCTGTGAAAGAAGGTGTCTTCTATTGCCAGCAACTTTTCTCTTTAGGAGCTTAAAAATACTTGCACGCAGTCCTCTGTGATTCATGACAAAGTGCTGCACACGCACGCGAGCAGATTGAATGAATGAATACCTTGACTAAAATGCAATTTTGGGGGGGGGCATTTTGCTTTGTGTAGACATGAATCCAGAGATCCGATGCTTCCCAGCTGCTGTGCTGTGTCTGGGCTGGCCTGTTTGAGTCTGGTGTAAGTTGAGAATTGTAGCGAGCAGCAGTAGCTGTTTGGAGACTCGGAGCGGTGCTGAATTATTTAGGGGCCTCTGTGCAGCACACACTAGATGCTGTCTCTGCCACACCCCTGCTGTCCACACACTTGCTTGCTGGTGCTGCAGATGATGATGTTGCTTGTATACTTGTTGTTTGTGTGTGTTATGGTGGTTAGTCATGTCCTTTGCAGGCGATGTCTTTGCTCGATAACAGACCCAGCCACTTTAGGGAGGCAGATCTCCCAAACATTCCAAGCAAGCTGTCCCTTTCTGCGAATCCAGGATCCCAGCTCCACTCCTATAGCTGAACATGAAAAGCAAAACACGTTCCCAGTCGTGTTACAAAGAAAAGCGCAGTAAAGCCCATCCAAGATTAGAGGGCCTTGTGTTCAGAGTATCGAGGAGGGAACAGATTGCTCAGCGATGTAATTTGCACCAGGTTCTTATGGGAGGAGTTTTTAGTCCTGCAAGTTTGCAGTTTTTTTAAGGTTGGCAAATGAGCAGTTCTTGGACTATTCCAGGGTTTTAAAATGGTCAGAAATCTGTGGGATTTGCGTGGTGCCCTGACAGCGTGATGGACTATCCTGACTCTTCCTCTCAGGCCTTTGCTCTGTGTCCACAGTCGCCGACTGTACACCTTACAGAATGAGGTCCCAGACTGCTCTAGCATCAACTGCGCCCCTAGCTGACCAGACATCTGTCAGCTAGAAAATGGGTCACGATCCCCCTGTTTACACTAGGTAATAAACTCTATTACCAGAGAGAGGTGAAGATTAATCTAGAGCCCCATCACACACCCACTGAAAACTGTGACCTCCTTTTTACTGTGAGACTTGTTCTACACTCTGTGGGATCACGGGTGTTCCCAGGCCCTTGTAACTCCCTTGTAACCTGGCTCGAAAGATATTTTAATATAGTGGATATATAAAAAGAACTCTTTTTTTTTTTTTAAAACATTGCACGTTCTCTATTAAATGCATTTATTATCTTCACTCACTCGAAAGCAAAGGTGCTGAAGGAACTTTACTTTCAAGGCCAATAAGGAACTATTTGTTCAGTTCAGGAGAGTGATTAATTAAAGTGATTAATTACCTGGAGACACCACAGCCCGCCGGGAGCAGATCTGACAGCTCGACCGGGCTTTTCACTGGGGGCAGTTTTCCTGACAACGTGGATGTGAAGCATGACCCTGCAGTGCAGGCGTCTTCCCCCAACACTAGAGGGCGCCACTTCCTGCCTGGCCTTAAGAAGAGGCACCTGTTTCCTTCTCTAATCCAGCTTATCCAGGCCCGAGGCATTAATTCGCTTTGAGGTCCAGCCCCCCCCCCGTCTGTGGCTCTTGCTCACCCAGACACTGCAATAAGCAGGAGAAGGCCACCTTCGTCCTTCACTGGTTCGCCACGCTGTTTTCTGGGCCAGCTTCAGGAGAGAGAGAGCGAGAGGAGACAGAGAGCAAGAGGGAGCGGAGGTATTTATAGAAAAATGGGGCCTCACAGTACCCTTTCTTGTGAAAGAATTATTAAAGAGCCCAGCGATGTGTCCTACTTTTATGATTAGAACTCGGCAAGCAGGCAGGACTGGCCAAATTCACCAGAGATGCAGCATCGACAGAGTGACAACAATTTCACACCCTTCTCCTCCTCTTTATGGATTTTTTTTTTTGCAGCTTGGCCTTGAAGATGTTCAGCAAGGCTGCGTTTCACTGTGACTCTTTAGCTTCCCAGCCTTTCCTTCTCCCAGCAACTTGTGCCTGAAGGGCAGAGGGCCTGGAGGTGTCTTTCGTTCACTTCGTTAGCCAGGAGAGAGTTGGGGTGGGGTGGGGGGGTGGGTGGTGTGTGTGTGTGTGTGCTGGACTGTGCCTTGATTTCTCACCTCCCGGGCCGCAGCGTGACACGAGACCAGATCCCGACACAGAATGAAGAAGTTTCTGAAAAATCGGAAAGGCAGGTACTCCCTGCGCCAGAGCAAGTCCGGCTCTCGTTGTGCATCCAAAGACTTCTGTAAGTGTCTCTCTCTGATTTCACTACTCTGCTCAGGAAGGAGGAAAGTTCCTAATCTGCATGCCTGGGTTTCTGAAGCGATCAGCAGTGGAAAAGGCAGTGTTTTCAGGACGGTAATTCCTTTTCTGATGGCTCAGTTATATCCAGATTGCCTTGAGCTGATGTCATAGAATTGATCCGTTTCTGTAATGCTGTGTAAATTGTAAAAGTATCTGGCTTTCGCCTGGGAGGCTTGCATTGATTTCTGTGTTGCATATATTTATTCATCACCCGAGCGCCGTGTTATTTGCATTTCGGGTTCTGATTAATGTCTCTGCTTTGTATCCATGACCTTCAGGCGAGCCAGTATTTCAAGTTGCTGTTTTTACAGCATCAGGTGCCCTGTTTCCTGATTGCAACTTCTCTTTAAAGCCTCTTTATGCACTGAATGTTGGTGAACTAGAGCAAGGCAGTGGAATACAGCGTCTCGTCTCTTTGCTCGGGCACAGAATACAGCAGACGGCTGTAAAAACTAACAATTCCACGGGTCATTGTCCACACTATGTGGAGATAACAGTTAGAACTATAGAACTATTGTGGGCCTTGAGGCACAGTTAATTTTGCATGCTTGATATACAACAGCAGAATTCTGCTTTACAGATGGGCGGGTTTTAGATTAAGATCTGTTTGTCTGGCTGGGTCCTACTGTATCGCTGAATGGGAATAAACCGCTTGCTGCAGGTAGCATCACGATCACAAGGCTTTGGAGCTGGAACAGTTTTTTTTTGTGGGATGTAAGTTTTCAGGACTAAACTGAACAGCACAGCAGCGCACATGCAAAGTTAGCTGCTAAGATTTAGGCTGCTGCAGTTGTAGACTGTCTCATCTTCCAAGGCAGCAAATGACACCACTGCAGTGCAGGAATGAGGCTGTTGAGCCCGAGGTGTCACGCCAGACCACCATGGAGCAGAGCAGACTGGGGGGGCTGACAATCGGCAGCCTGTCCCCAAAAAAGAGGCAGCCGCAAGTGAAAAAAGGAAAGAAAGACAAGGGAGAGGAGGAGAGCGAGAGAGAGGCAGCTCTCTTGCAGCGAAGGACACAAACTCACATGACCTGAAATGAGAGCTCCCCGGGGAAATATCTGAGATATCTGAACACTTTGTTCCCTGACTCAATCCCGTTGTCTAGCTGCACTACAAAAAGAAAAGATGTTTTAGCGATTCCTGCATTCTTGCTTTACCTTGTCCAGCTGGATAGCTCTTCTTCCTTTGAATATTTTCAAACGCCTGTACTTTGACTTCTCTGCGGTTTTATTAGGCTTCGCCTTGGAACACAGTGCAGCGTTTTCCGGGGATCGGCGCAAGGCGGGTGCCGTGTGGTGATGTGTTTCCTGTGTTTCCCCCCTTGCTCCGCAGTCCTGACGATGCCGGCCTCCAACCAGGGCTGGCCGGAGGAGTTCGGTTTCCGACTGGGGGGCAACGGGCCGAGCTACATCCTGTCGGTGGAGGAGGGCAGCAGCGCCCATGTGGCCGGCCTGCAAGCGGGGGACCAGGTGCTGGAGATCGAGGGCCAGAACGTGTCCTCGCTGGGCACGCAGGCGCTCATCGCCCTGGCGCAGAAGCAGAAGAATGTGCCGCCCAGCATCGGAGTGGTGTCCCGCATTCAACAGGTCAGCCCATCCCTCCTCCCTCTCATCTAACAGTGTTACGACATCCCCCGTTTTTGAACACATTGATTAGATAGATAAGGCGTTATTGATCCCGTAGGGAAATTGATGTGTTACAGCAGTCCAGCCCAAGACCAGCAAAAACAGACATCAGAATAGACGAAAAGTTATACAAAATAAATAAAAAGAAATACATAGGTGTGTGCAAAATATGATGATCGTAGTCACTGTAAAAACAATAAAATATGTGCAAAATGTGCATAGGTTTATACAGACTGATTGTCCAAAAAGTACAATGGAGCAACATGCTGTCCATAGACGAGCAGATGGAGGGGTAACAGTCCTAGCCTAGGGCAGCGTTATACACCCTGACAGCCGCCGGGAGGAAAGACCTGCGGAAACGATTAGGTGTGAGGAAGAGGGAATTCTTGCAATACAATAGTAGCCCAAGCTGGGAGGTTGAGTTCATGTGTTAAATCTACAAGATGCGACAAGAATGACACTGATTCAGAAAGGGACCTCTTTTGTCATTTCCTACAATCGTTGACATGATTGATCTGGCACGTTATGATTTTTTCCAATCAGGAATCCCGCTCTGTGGTTGTGGCTCTCTCTGAGTGAAGAATGTGTGTGTATGTGTGTGTGTGTATATACACCACAGATGGACATCGCCCCTGGTCCTGATGGCCGCTTCGGCTTCACGATCGTGGGAGACTGCCCCCTGCTGGTGGAGGACTGCCTCCCTAACTCGCCGGCGGGGAGGAGCGGGCTGCGGGCGGGGGACTACGTGCTGGAAGTGAACGGGATCCCGGTGAAGCAGCACGAGATGGCGGCGGCCATGATCAAGACGTCCCAGGGCCGCACGCTGCGTCTGGGCGTGCTCTGCCTGGGCCGCCGGCAGAAGCGGGCCAGCAGCAGTCTCAGGGACTCCCAGCAGGGCGGCGACAGTGTGCGACAGGACCGCAAGCACAAAGCCCTGGAGTTCAACAGGAAGGTGAGCGTTGCTACCCCCAGAGGGGCTGCAAAGAGGTGTAACAGCCGCGTATAGCATTGGTGCATTTTGGGCCTTTCTGATCTGTTTCAGTGATTTATGTGTCCAGTCAAAGTTTCAGATGATACAAAAATCACAGGGGTGGCAAAAGCAAGAGCAACAAAGGAATGATATAATCAAGTACTTGGCTATAAAATTAGGGAGTAACAATTTAATTGTTCATTAATCAGTGCCAAGTGAGTACAAGTGAGTCATAAAGGCAGAAGGAACATCTACTATATATTACGCAAGGAGCTGCAGGAAGATTCATTAAAAAGATCTGGGTGGAAGTGTGGCATTTATATCCAGGGGAGTTAATGCTTAAGCTACAGGGCAACCTAATTTAAAATATGAGGTTTTGGCCTCTATACTACAAAAAGCATGTTATAACCTTAACAAAATTCAAAGAAGAGCAGCGAGACAGAGGCCTGACGTCAGGGGATTGTCAAATATGGATTAGTTAAAAGAGCTAAATCTCTTCACTGTAGGAGATTGGGAGTTCATTTGAACCTGCTGCAGTACTGATATGAAATCTTAATTGGTACAGATGGGACCAATCCAGGGTACTTACTTTATACTCACTAGTGAAACACGGATAGTAAAGCGAACAGGAAATACCTCTTTACACTAAGAGCGGTGGGTGTGTGGAACAGGCAGTGTCCACTGCCTCCTCGCGGTCGGTGCCTCACGAGCGTGGCCCTGTGTGTGCAGATCGAGGAGGTGCTGGGAGACCAGCCGGAGGTGAAGGAGAAGCTGTTTGCGGTGCTGAAGCAGTACGCCGCCGAGAGGAAGGTGGAGTGTCTGGCCACCGCCCTCCCCAGCATCCTGACAGAGGAGACGCATCACCAGCTCATCGACAACATCAGGTACCTGCATCCACTTCTCTGGTTGCGGTCTGAATCCTCCCGCCTCTCTGCCCTTTGACCCCATCACACCGGGAGAGCCCCTTCCTGGGGTGACTCAGGAGCTGGCTGCTGTTTTTGAGCAGAAACTGTTACACCGGGCCCGTGGGTGGGGGAAGAAAGGGCATGGCTAATTAATTATTTTCAGAGTCTGTTCAGAGGAAACGATTCTGGAGTTTGTTGGATGAGTGGATGGCAATAATGTAATTATAGAAATAGAAGGAGGAATGGCGGATGACTGAGATGCACAGGTGAAACAGGCAGGAGAGGTGCATAGGAGGGGTCAGACAGGCCTGAGGTGAAGTCAGGAAGGGTTGATGGGTGATTAACAGTGGGGGTGTCTGAAAACTGGAACTGGAGAATTGTAAACTGCGAAAAGACCACAGTTAGAACTGAGAGCACACGCATATTAGTGACTCAATGTCTGAACCCTGAGGAATGGTTCCTCAGGGCTTAAATAGCGTGTGAGATTCCCTAATGAGGCTGATAAGCCCGGCCTGATCTCGTTAGGGATGGCCTTGACGAGCTAGTTCCACATGTGGAATGCACCATGGAATTGAATGGGGTTGATGCAGGAGCATTGGAGCTCGTCAGGGCATCACAGAAACAGGATCCTTTACAGACAGCAAAGGGTCAATCTCCGTTTTATCCATAGCAAGGACAACACTACACTCTCTCGCATTTCCCAGAGCTGGTCCTTGTGTAATACGACCCACTCCACTCAGGCCAGCCCAGAAGCCTCTGCTCAAGCTGACATCTAACTCCATTCCCTGATGTGAAGAAATGTGTGCATGCTCACTAATTTCTGCCACTTGAGATGAATGCCTTCTAAATGCAAACTGATCCTTTTAACTGAAAGGGGGACTTTGCAGCTCCTTAATGTATTCAGGAGGGTTGGAGAGGCAAAACTCGTTTAAGTCGTGTACAGGCAATGTAAATGTGTTGCTGCTCGTCCTGTGAACAGATGCGTGAACAATGTTCTTTAAAGATGATTGTCCATGCACATAAAAAAATGTTCAGGATAACCACAAAAGGTAGATGTTAATGGGGAAATTAAAATTATATTTTAATGCAAAGCAGGCAGTGTAATTTTCCAAATTATGTAGGTCATATAAACATGGCAATGTTTGTGGCCCAGACATAGTTTGGTTAGTGTTGTTGCACTATATAAGGCACTCTGTATTAGAGTACCTTATGTGTGGAGTTTGCATGTTTGTCTCAGGTCTTTATAGGCCTGTTCCAGTTTCCTCTCACTTTTGTAAAGACATGTTAGCTGGGTTAATTAGTGTTTCTAAAATGACTCTCTCTAAATTTCACGTGTGTCGATGGCGATAGAGTAAACTCCGGCCTAGTGCCCTGAGCCTCTGGGATAGACCCCAGCTTGTTATGATCCTTACTGGGAATAAGTTGCATTCTGAACATTACAGGAAACATTAATGCATTTGGTAGTTTTATCTACAGTATGAGTATCAGAAATGATAGATCAATGAGAGTGTGTAACTACTTGGTTTAGATCAAAGTGCACGCTGAGCACTAACTCAAAGCTCATTCTGCTCAGATATTAAATTGCTGTCAGACTGAATATTAAACCTGTGAAAGTCTGCAGTGGCTAATGAATTGCAGTGTCGGCTTGCTCCTTTGTTTTCTTACATAACCACGGCTTTCACTAGCTTTATCTCTGCTTGTTTATACAAAAACTCTCCATTTGCTCTCTGTGGTTTACTCAACAGTTCTCCTGTTTCCAACTCCTTCACTGCCCTAAAGCTGCTCCTGTTACTGTATATTCCATTGCAAATGACAAAGAAGTGGGCTGAGCACATTTTTCAGGAGGGGTGATTCGGTGGTGATTGACTTTTTTTCTAAGCAGCAGAATGGAATGGAAAAAAAAACAGACAGACACAAAGACCAATAGGAGGAAAAGGGATCACAGTTTCATGCACTATCCAGACATTTTTGGTTAAAAGACATATATACAGTTTTATACACATCTACTCTATAGTTCTAACCAAACATTTCACAACAGTGCAGGAAACACCTACAGTATATATGTGTGTGTACATAAGTGTTTATACTTTTAACCACAGGTGATATGTATATAACCATCTATGTAATGTACAAACACTATAAACAGATGGCGATAGCATCTGGGGATCTAATTTGTCATAACGGTCTGATATGATTTTCAGATATGGTTGGGAAAGTCTGGGAGCGATAAAATGAGTTGAAACTGTTGATGTCATCGGTATTTGCGTCCTCTGTCAAGAGGCATGGACAAGCAGTTTGGCTGCAGGCGGTCTGATTTTCCCTGGTTTCTGAAGTGTTGACTAATGGGGAAGGATGGTATGCCCACTCTGTAATGTCACAGGGACACTGGAGTCAGATCTTCAGATGTAGAATAAGGAGGTGCAGGGCTAGATCTCATTACTCATGAGCACGCCCGCTGTTGAAACAGCAAAAAGAAAAAAAAGAATCTGACCATGAAATATAAATGATCTAAGTTTTAGAAATAGCAAAAAATAATACACTGAAACTGGTCTTAAACATTCAATAACCCTTTGTCCTAGTTTTGGATAATCAAGACTAGAGAGTACAGGAAATCCTATATCTCCACAATTGCCACCTCTTGGTTTCTCCAAAGAACAAATTCCCCTTTCTATATTATAAATGATATGGCACTTGCTGTTTCCTGTTTGCTCTGTACAGCAGCTCGCTACTTCAATGGGAGACGCAGGGGTTAGTAAAGGAGGGGAAAGTAGCACCCCGAACCGCGTGGGGAACCCCAGTGGTCCGTTTGGGTTGGCTGACTCGGCAGCCTCTGGGGTGTGAAGACATGAAGAGCCCTGACTCATGGAGAGACACTTGAGAGGCGCTGCCTCACGACTGGGAGCTGGGCCCTCAGGGGTAGAGAAGGAAGAGGAAGACTCCCCTGAGGGTCGCTCGAGATGTGCTACCTCACGCCTGGGAGCGAACCCCTCAAGGGGGAAGAGAAAGCATCCCTGACTGGGCCAGGCCCTCAGGGGTCCGAGGGGAGGAGAATGAGCGAGTTAGAGCTACCGAGAACAATGTGGCCGGGGGCCCCTCTGGCTCCGCTGTGAGAACCTCCCCAGAAGGGGTCAAGGAGGCGCTGGCATCCTGAGGTCGGGGCAGTGAGCTTCACTGACCCCCCAGAGGGAGCCGGAGTGCCAAGGCAACACGACAGAAAGAGGAGGAGGAGGAGGGAATTCAAAACCTTTAATTGTGCGTGTGTGTGTTAGCGAGGTTAGTGTTTAAATGGGAAAGAGAAAACTGACTGATCTCGAACCTTCGCCTGTCAGTTTCCATTTCACCAGCTGAAGTGCCTATTGAAGGTAACTCTCAGAGTCCGGAGCAACCTATTCAGAACAGCTCGTCAGAAAGAGCAGAGGCTGAATGAAAAAGGGCTGGAATGGTGTGAGTGCTGCTCGGTCGGTTTCGCCAGCTCACTTTGCCTGACCTGACGAGATCTTGCCCTGCAGCTGGGAATCGGGCCGAGCTAAGGGCGGGACTTCAGCGAGCAGTGGATTGTACCTCCTGCTGTTTCATGTCGTTTCCCCCCCTGTGATACTGCTCTTCTATCGGGGCGAAGCGCCATATGGTCGTAATCCCCTGAAATATGTTTATCCCGCAGAACAGGCAACTGCTCCTCTGCTGCAGCCGCTGTGCGCTCTTGATTTAGACTGGGGTCTCTGCCAGATGCAAGGTAGATGTGACCCATGTTGCTGGTGTAGTTCCCATGAAGCTGCCTGGTGGCCCGGTGGTTTTGGCATTGCAGTAATGACTTGTCCTACACTACTCTGAAGCAAAGCAGGGGTCAGAAACACGGGTGAATCCCCCTGGGGCAGGGTCATCTAATTTAGGAGAATCACATTCTTCGGATTCTCACAGGGAAATCACTGAACTGGCTGCACCTGGAGACTTTAGCTCCCTATAAAAGCAGTTCCTGGGACAGTCAGAGGTTGTCTTTTCACGGACCCTCACAGTTCAGTTAGACAGTGAGTATTCAAATGGACAATCCCGAGATCAAAGTGTTGGATCAAGTCAGAGGGGACTTATAGCAGGATTAAACTGGTAGCAGCCTCGTTCGTTTTCCAGGCTGGGACGCCGGTAAGTAAGAAGATGGTTGATGAGCGCACCTGGTCAACCGGAATCAACCGAGGGAGGCTCTTGCAACTGCTATTTAGGGGAGATAGTTACAGTTGAAGTGGAGACCCCTTCACTATCAAAAAGTGGGGATCTCTCACATACTGGTGAGGACGGAGCAGTGGCACTGTGGCTCAGGATCTGTGCCTGTGGCTAGAAGGTTGCCGGTTCAAATCCCGCGGCTGGCAGGGGAATCCTACTCTGTTGGGCCCCTGAGCAAGGCCCTTAACCCCAACTGCTCCAGGGGTGCTGTATGAATGGCTGACCCTGCACTCTGACCCCAAGCTTCTCATGTGTGTCTGTGTGTCTCATGGAGAGCAAGCTGGGGTATGTGAAAAGACAAATTCCTAATGCAAGAACTTGTATAGGGCCAATAATGTCAGCAAGCGTAGGCTGCAAAGGAACAAGTAAAGGTGTGTTCCATGCTGAAAGGAGAAGAGAAACAACGTTTCGGGTGTGGAGCCTTCTTTGCGTGTCCCCGAAACGTGTTTCTTTTCTTCTCCTTTCAGCGTATAAGAACTTTGACCTGTCCCAAGGGCCTTAAAGCCCTCTTTTCTATCCTCCCTAGTGGTGAAACCAGGGAGAGGAAAGAAAGGCTCTGCATCGATCCAGCCGACAGCCGATTGGGACCACATGCTTTTTGTCCAACCTTACCTTAACCCAAACCCTAATCAGTGAGCTGGGAGAATGGGGAATTTGTCGCAGTTGTTGCTGGAGAAACAGGCAGAGCTCTGAGGAATTTCCATTTTACTTTCCTTTCTTATGTTACTCCTTTTTTTTGGTGGGCGCCCCAAGGAGGTATAGGG